AGCAACAAAGATCTAGATAATACACGGAGCAAACTCAAAAGGGGTGGCTTAGAGAGCAATCCTAAGTCACCAGGATGTCGGAAGGCCAGATGAGGGGATGCTACTGCAAGGGAAGCGGCACTGGCCACGAGCCCTTCCAATCGAGGGGCACTGGAAACTCCTAAGGACGACTGTTACCTTGCTCTGTACCTGCACAGTAGCTCAGTCCTTGGGTTAGAAGAGGTTTGGATCGAGTTTCCTCTCCCTGGGGCCACTCCCTTCCTAGCTCTTCCCTCAGCAGTTACCTCTGTATTGTTGAGATCAGCCAGCAGAAGGAGGTTCTGTCAACAGGACAGCATTTCACCTGACAGACTAGGATCCTGCTTATTCTGAACCCCCTGCAGCTGACACCTCTTTGAATAAGGACTAAGCCCAGATATGCCCAAGCCACGTGCACCCGAGATGAGGAGAGTGAAAATGCTTATGGCTGTTTTGTTTTGATACATCTCTAGTATAAAAAGTGTATATGGTAAATTGACCAAAGAAACATTTTTTAAAAATGAACATAGAAAGCACCCCCTCAAGAGGCAGAAAACATTAAAAAACAAACAAACTAGCATTCATGCCAAAAACCAAGAAAAACAAGTAAGCAAATGAAGGCAAAAATACAATCAAAGCCCCACACAAGCAAAGCTACTAGAAAATGGGGCAAGTTCTCTCCCTTCTATTATTTGATGCCTTCTCTTGTTTTCTCATTCTTGAATCCAGGGCGCCAGGCCCAGGAACTGCAAAAATAACACAAAAAACAAATGGAGGGGGAAATCCTCAAAGAAATTGGGCAGGAATAACCCCAAAGAGGCACACTGGCACAGGTCGGCTGCCTTGCAGCAGCCGAAATAATCTGAAGAAATGGGGGGGAGGGAAATCCTCCAAAGAAATCATGAAACAAGGCAAACACAGAAATGCAGGTAGCAAAAGCCTGTGAAGTTTTTTAAAAAAAACCTTCACTAGGTGCCAAGTCTTCCTACAGATCCAACATTCCTCCTCCACCCCCAGACATTCTGATTGGCCGCAGACAACTCTTGCTGGTCACACGATCATGTCTCTCATGATGCTATTGGATGAAAAATTTATCAGGCTATCTAAGATCAGCTAAAAGAAAGGTTAAATGATGAAACAGAAGTTTAGGATTATATGAATGAAAGACACATAAAAGAACATAAAAATGTTTGTGTTCCTCTGTTTTCTTAAAATAAGTCATTCATACTGATGAGGTTCCCTTTTAAGAATCAAGGAAAGAACACGAAAACATAAAAAGAACCTATTTCTTTTTAAATTCTACTCAAATATGAAATTCCTATCCCAAATGGGTAAATTCAAAATAAAGTGATAACACAAGAATACAGTGGTGCCTCGCATAGCGATGTTAATTCGTTCCAAAAAAAACATCGCTATGTGAAACCATTGCTATGCGAAACACCATTTCCCATAGGAATGCATTGGAAACCGGTTAATCCGTTCCAATTGGAACGGATTACCGTTGTTAAGCGAAAAAACCCATAGGAAACATCACTAAGCGAAACAATGTTTCCTCCATTGGAATGTATTGAAGCCGACTCAATACATTTCAATGGCTTTGCGAAGTCAATTTTTGCAAAATTAAGTGTGTCATAAAAGGGTCAAAAATGGTTTTAAATGCTTGGATTAGCTTCTGCACCCTCTAAAACGTATGCAAAAGTTAATTTGGCTTTTATCTGACTTTTCGTTAATTTATAGTGAATTTTTTTCCCCAACTTTTGACAGCTGTCAAAATGTGACAGCTCCATTATTTCCTATGGGGGAAGAAAAAATTCACAAAAAATTAA